TGCCTTAGACCCACTTCTACGGGTCGGTAACCCACCTTAATGTCGTGTAGTGTCTGAACTGCCTTCGGTGTGGAAATCGACTTTCCCCGACTCCTCAATCCCTACACAACAACTCTATTAAATCATCAATTTGTACTCACAACCCCCATAAGGGTCAACCCAAATCCTGGTTAAAGTCAACCTCCAGATGACTTGACTCGCCGAGTTGGTCTACCAACTCGTCGAGTCCCTATTCCTCCAAAATAATCCAACTCCCGACTCCACTCGTCGAGTCTAGGAACAACTCGATGCTTCCTCATTCAACCATAATATCGGGACCATCTTTAACTGACTCGCCGAGTTCCCATTGAACTCGTTGAGTTCATCTCCCTCATAAGAATGTGTTCAGTCAATGACTCGGCGAGTTGTATGAACAACTCGTCGAGTCCATCTTCATGGTTTGGGGGATTGCCTTGGACTCGTCAAGTTTGTTCATACACTCATTGAGTCCTATGATTTCCAGGTCTATAATCTCGTCCAACTTTGTTGAGTCATTCTCTAGACTTAACCAGACCCCCAAAACAGCAAAGGTTGGGGAACCACACCCCGACTCGCCAAGTCCCAAGAAAAAGTCGCCGAGTCCACTAAGGTCCATGTCCAAAAACTTGATTTCTGCTAAGCTCATCTCATCCAAAGGGTGGATCTGACCTCCTAGGATTGATATAACACGTAAAGTCATGAACTTTACGTCTATGCATGGGTCTTTAAGCTCAAAAGGACCAAAAATGAGACCTACAAGATACATGGGGCTCTCACAGCCATAGAGTTGGCACCTTTATGCCATGAGACCCCTCCAAAGACCAAGATCTGAAGCCATAACTCCATAATACACCCCACAACTTGAAAATGACTTAGAATGCCCTAAATATACCAAAATCTAAGCCCTAAAGATGATTAAAACACATGGAAGATCAAGATAGAAGCTTTTTACCTTAAATGAGCTGGAAATGGAACACAATCTCTGGATCTTCTAGCTTTAACTTGAAGTCCCAAGCTCCTTTCCTATTCTCAAGCTTTACAATCCACCAAAATGCACAAAAATGGCCTTAGAACACTCAAACAAGGCTAGGGTTTCAGGCTAATGTCTTTTGGAAGTATAAGGGACGATGGAGGCTGAGATGGGGAGAGATAAGTTGTTTAAATAGAGTGCAAACCCTCAAATTTAGGGTTTCACTCAAACAACATCTACTTGCCGAGTCGGTCTCCCAACTCGTCGAGTAGATCACTTGAACTTCTTGCGGATCACGAGTCTACTCGACGAGTTGGGCCCCCAACTCGTCGAGTCCTAGAGAAAAATATAAGAATTACTTGAATTAAATGCATACCATGAATCAGGTGTTACACAAAAGGTCAAAACTTTCCTAGTCCATGAGGTCCAAGAAAACATTCTAAACTGATTAAAAGGTGTGGGAGTCCAGATTTGAAACATACAATGTGCTTGGGAGCTTGGAGAGTAATAAAGTTGCAAAATTTATTCCAATTCTCACTCAAAACTCATTAAAATGGATCAAAACACCAAAAAGACTTAGATCCAAAGATGAAATGCAATAACACTTGCAACTTTATAACTTACAAAGGTGTAGAAGGTAGATAAAAGTTTAGATCTTCAATTTCCAAGATTTAGGGATCAATCTTACATGAAAACATTGCTCCAAAACCACCAAAAACTCCAAAAAAAAATGGACGGGAGAGGAGAGGGGAGGCTCAAATCTTGAAAATAGAGGCTAAGAAAATACCCTAAAATATGAATCCTTACCTTTAAATACCTTGAAAACCCTAAAACATTTGTGGGCCTTGGGTTGCACAGTCTCACGTTGTGAGAATATATTCTCACCTCGTGAGGACTCTCACGCCATGAGAATTACTTCTTACTCCGTGAGAACGAGTTTTCACCCAATTTCACTCAAACTTCAAACAGTCATAACTTTTTCATTCCAACTTCATTTTCGATGTTTTTTCTATGCACGAAAAGGTATTGACGAGCCCCACAACTCTATATAATTACTTTTGACTTAAAACACATCGAACTAAAATCCTAAATTCATGAAAGAAGTCTGAAATATCAATTATCCCAATTTATCATTTGACTCCAAGACACAAACCAAAGCTTTAATCAGTTATCCAAAATTGTCATCATCTAATAAGGTCTAAACCCCATTCCCTTGAAGCTCAAAGCCTTTACTTGACCCATTTATTATCCGCAATCTCGGAATAAGAAACTTTTCGAAATATGATGTTACATAACAATTACATTAATGATGTACAAGAAGATGAAAGATGTAATTAGTTGAAGAGCATTGAAGAACTTGCCAGAAGATGTTCAAAGAACATATAATATATCCTAAGGTTTATCTTCTCTTGTAACTTGCATTGATTTTACCCATTGCAACGAGTGTGAAATGTTCATTTTTTGCAATGAAGTTGGTCAAGACTCGACCTGATAGTACGCAACAAAATTGGTGATCAATTTTGAAGTGATACTTTGATGGCATATATTGAAAAAATGTTTTAGATAGTATTAATAATGATATAATTGTAAACATATATAATCATATAAGACCTCATCGGATCTTTTTTGGCTTATACAACTCGACCTGATCTGAAATCGCAACTAGTTATATTGTTTATTTAATTATTTTTTTAGTTTCTATCTGTTTAATATAAATAGTAAACCATATAGTTTTATGGAATATATCTTTTGAAAGCGTGGTCCCTTGATACAAAACTCAGCATGGCGAGCTTAACTAGATATGAATTTCATTTACTAATAAAATGCTAAGATTTTTTGATAAATTAAACTAATAATTTAACATTTGACAAAGTTATATAACTACCATATATCGATTATTTAATGAACACACAAAGTCTTAATAGTAAAGGGATAAAGAGAATTTACCGAGTACATGAACTTATAATGCATCATATACGTAAAAAATAATTTAAAAATATCGTAAAACAGTAATTAAAAAGTTTGGGCTATTTCAGGTCAAGCCCATATATAGACATAAAGAAAACATCCTTTTATCTTTACGTTATAACCACCCATACATGATACTTTACAATCTATAAATAATGGCCCAAAAACAAATAACACGTTACACGTCGTCCAAAAACAAAATAACGTCATTATATATATATATATATATATATATATATATATATATATATATATATATATATATATATATATATATATATATATATATATATATATATATATATATATATATAGGATTAGGTTCATTTGAGACCACCTATATTTTGTGAGACCGTGAGACGCATTTTTTTATTTTTTTTATTTTATTTTATTTATTTATTTATTTTAGTTAATTCATGTTCCGAAAATAATATTAAAACAAAGAATTTTTTGATTTTTCCATTTATTTTGTATTTTAAAATTATTTTTAGAATATGTACAATGTAATACTTTATTTAGAATATTTCACGTATTTTTCAAAAAAAATAGAATTTTTTTTTATTTTAGTTAATTTAAGTTCCAAAAATAATATTTAAAAAAAGAACTTTTAGATTTTTCCATTTATTTTGCATTTTAAAATTATTTTTTAGAATATGTCAGTCTAATATTCTATTTAGAATATTTCACGTATTTTTCAAAAAAAAAAAAACGGAATTTTTTTTCTTTTATTTTTATTTTTTTTAGTTAATTCAAGTTCCGAAAATAATATTTAAAAAAAGAATTTTTGGATTTTTCCATTTATTTTGCATTTTAAAATTATTTTTAGATTTGGTCTCACGGTCGCACAAAATTAGAATGGTATCAAATGAACCTGAACCTATATATATATATATATATATATATATATATATATATATATATATATATATATAAAAGAAAAGTGAATATATGTTATATCCATACCTAAGGTACAAAAACATACAAAACTACATCGTTTGCTAAGGGTTTTCCAAAAAACACTTGCTATGTCCATGATTTGATGAAAGAAACGAATCCTCCATAAAAAAATTACATAATTACCTGAATCAAATTTTTTTTTTAAACGACTTTCTTTTGATTATTTATTATTGTGTGTAGTTTTGTGAAATTCTCCAAGTTAGATTGCTACGTGAATTCTTTGGTTTCTCAGGTACGTGGTTTTTTTTTTCCAAAATCTTTTGTTACGTGAAGTTTATTTAAGTTCAATTACAGTATTTAGGGATTCACTTTGGAGTTTGCCCTAACGTAAGAAAATACACACATGTGAATGAAATATAATTAGATAATTGCATTAAATTCAAAAGTGATAGGTTTATTCTAGAATTTCCAATACGTAATAATTGACACTTTCAATTAATGTTTTTCATTCATACAATAAAGACTTGAATACGTAATTAACCTTACAATTACACTTACAGGTTTATATCATTCAATGCATTTTAAGTTACCATTCAATTATAGTTTTTATATTGAAGTTTTCCTCTTTTTTTTTTCATTATTGTTGATCATTTTAATTTACCACTCAATTCTAGTTTTTATATTGAAGTTTTCCATTTTTTTTGTGATTACTGTTGTCTGATTAGTAACAATTGCTTCTTATTGTTTCTATTTGTGCACTAGATAATGAATGAAACTGAAGTTGATGTCACTCTATCGAAACACATACAACTAAAGATGTTGACATAGATGGTTTGTCAATAGCAACATATGAATCTGAAAAAATAATTGGGGTTGATGTGACCGTTGATTGTGACAAAGATGAAGTTAATGATGAAAACATTTTGGGAAAGGTTTTTGATACAACCGATAATGCGTATGCCTTCTATAATGATTATGCATTTGTACATGGATATGTATTCATACTACACACAAAAACATGGAAACAAATGAACCTTATCAAAAGATACTTGTATGCGACAAAGAAAGTTTTAAACGGGAGGATGGTAATACGTCAAGTGGACATGAGAAAAAACGTTGTAGAGAAGTTAGAGTCTGATGTAAGGCAATGCTTCGAATTTCAAAAAAGAAGAATGGGAAATGGTTTGTGGACTTGTTTGACGACACACACAATCATAAATTAAGCATCACACCAATGAAGGTGATGAAGCATCGGTTTCATGCGAAGTTCCACCATACCATGAAATGTAAATCTCTCATGGTGCAACTTAATCAATCAGGATTGAAACCTTCTCAAATTAAAAAGGCCATTAATGCAATGAAAACCTCAAATGAAGTTGATGTAACTTCAAAACAATGCGTTGATGTATTATCTGAGCAACGAAAACACAACAGGGGAAGGGAGTTCTATGGACTAATAAAACGTCTACAAGATAAAGAATTGGTGGATAATGATCAGTATTATGTTGTGGATTTGTGTAGTGACGGACGTCCTAGAAATATTTTTTGGGCTGATTGAAGATCAAGAGACGATTTTACTAAACTTGGAGATGTTGTTGTGTTTGATGTCACTTATATGACAAATAAATTCAAGATGCCTTTTGCTCCATTTACTAGGGTGAACCATCATGGACAGTCTATACTTTTTGGTGGAGCGTTGCTAGAAAATGAAAAGGAAGAAACTTTTGTATGGTTGTCTAAGCATTTCCTAAAATGTATGTTTAGCAAGTATCCAAAGGCTATTATTACTGATCAAGACAAAGCTATGGATAATGCAATAAAAAAAGTGTTTCCAAACGCTCGACATCGTTTTTGTGCGTGGCATATAAAAAAGCATGAATTGGAGCACCTCCGACCATACTTTGCCCGTTATAGTGATTTTCAAGAATCATATAAAGAATGGGTAATGAGTGACACAATTGAAGAATTTGAAACTAGGTGGGAAGTTATAGGTGATAAGTATAAACTCGAAAACAATTGTTGGATAACTGATATGTATAACCAATGAATACATTGGTCTAAAGCCTTCTTAAAGGATATTTTCTTGGTCGGTATGACAACAAGTGGACGAAGTGAGAGTATTAATTCATTTTTTGATGATTTTGTTAACTCGAGTACCATATTGAATGATTTTTTAGTACAATATGACAAAGCAGTTGCATCATGAAGGGCCGCCGAAAAAGATGAAGATTTCAAGACTATGAACTCGAGGCCGGTTCTTTCCTCAATACATCCAATTGAAGCAAAAGCAGGTAAGTGTTATACTCGAAAGGTTTTTGAGATTTTAAAAAAAAGAATGGATAGAAGCTGCTAGCAATTTAACGCATGAGACTCTAAGCAAAAGTACAAAAGAAATCAAGTATCGAGTTGGGCAACTGGATATTGACAAAAAATATTGGCGGATTGTTAGCTTTTGTTTGTTAAACAAGATGCATGTCACATGTTCTTGTGCTAAGTATTAGACATGTGGGATTTTATGCAAACATAGCCTATTTGTGATGAAGAAGAGGCATGTTGACACACTTCCGAGTCACTATATTTTACCTCGGTGGGCGCTTAATGCTAGGTATAAGGTGGGTAAACGTAGCATCGGACTCAAAGAAATGAATAATGAAAATGGAGTTAGTGCTTACACGTTATGCTGTGTCCGTTCAAATTTTAATAAAGTAATTGTACAAGCAAAAGACTCCCCTTCAGAAATAGAAAATGTCAATAACATATTGATAAAGCTCTTACAAGATCAAGCAATCCGGAAAAAACCTATACTAGTTGAGAACGTATCTCAAGGTTCTTGTGTGAGAATTTCACAAGGTGATATGATTCCTCAGTTATCTGTATGAGATCCCCTTGGTCCAACTAACACAAAAGGGCGTCCTAAAATTGCTAGTAGAATCAAGTATTCTTTAGAAGTGCCAAAAAAACGAACATGCTCTTACTGTCAAGGATTGGCTCTTTATGCTACTAGTTGTTCTAAAAGAAAGGTACTTATGTTGGATAAGGTGTCTAAGTCCATAACTATTTCTGGTATGTACTTGACCTGACCCGACATGGTCCATTTGGGTTTCATGGCACCAAGAAATTGGATAGACTAAATGAGAGAAATAACACTTGTGGTTTATTAATATATTATAAGTTCTAATATATTAATAATATTATTTAATTAGTTTGATCAAGAATTAATTAAGTGATCAAAAGATAACTAATTAAATATATGGGTTGATTATGAAAATCATCCATAACTTGTATAGTGGGCTAAGAGGCTCCATGGATTATCAAGTTGGGTTCCACCCATAGGATGCTCCATGGGAGTTACAAACCCATGGGTCATGGAAATGAAGAGTCATGACACATTAGGTTTACATGGTGTAACCCTAGATGTGTCAACACTATATAAAGAACATATTCTCCACCAAAATCGGCTACACATAAGAAACAAGAGGGCTAGGCCGATTTTAGAAGTGTGTATTCTCTCTAAAGTCATTCCAAAAGCATTTGGTGTTGTGTGAAGCATTTGAGGCATCACACTTGGGGTGCTAGGCTCATAAGGTTTCAAGGATCATAAGCAACAACAAGGTATGTTATTCTATCTTTCATTCAAGTTAAAAATTGTTCCCCGTGTATGCTAGATAAAAATATAACCTTGGAATTCAACTTTACATGATTATTAGACAAACATAGATCCAAGGTTATTAGGGTTTCATGTACACTTAGGAAGTGTTAGAATGCTCAAAACCCATCAGTGGTATCAGAGACTAGGCTTGTTTGTTCATTCTTTGTGCAAACTGTTGAAAAAAAAACCATTTTTCTGTTTTCTGCTCGTATGAACTCACCGAGTCCATGAACAAATGCAAGCTACTCGTCGAGTTTGTTCTTGCACTCGACGAGTAGAGGCTGCAGTTTTCAGAAATTCGACTTTTGTTGCTGAAAATGGACTAGAAACATTACCCTAAATTGTTTTGGTACTTGAAAACTTGTTTTAGATGGTGTAATGTTTATGCTAATCCATTTGCAATGGCAATTATCAAAATTACAAGTTTTTAAGTGTAATTTTTTATTCTTGAAATGTTTATATTCAAGTTCTTGATCTTATGAAGATTAGATGATCATAGGAATTGCTTGTAACCTTCATGGTAGTTTAATTCATGATCATAAAGTGTTTTAATGGAGTCCATAACTTGTCCTCAAGTTATAGAAAACCAAAAGTCACACTTTTATTAAAGCCATTAAAAGAACACTAGAGTTATAAAAAATGAAGAGTCTTCATTTTTATTAATCAATTAAATTCATAAGTTATAAGAAATTAAAAGTTTTGAAAGTTTACAAAACTTGCCCTCAAGTTTTAGAACAAGTAAAGTCTTGATTAAAACTTTAGTTCCAACCCTTAGAATTTTAAAAGTTAAAATTCAACCCTCATACTTTATAATATTATAAGTTAATAATATATATATATATATATATATATATATATATATATATATATATATATATATGTGTGTGTGTGTGTGTGTGTATGTATGTATAAGATCAAGTCGTCTTACCGCTAGTACGCCTCATTCACGCAGTCGGTCTATAAGGCGGGTATAAGGTTGTTGCCTATAAAATGGAAACTTAATGGGTGTCCACTCTCACCCACCGCTTCCTTGATCGGTGGAGGGTCGTTAGCCGAACGGGTAGGACAAGGACTTATAAATTCTCATTAAAAGTATGATGAATATTATAAAGTAACTAAATGTTTTATTAAATTCCCAATCTTGGTTACTTTAGGAAAAATGTGAATAAGGTGCTAATCTATGAAACTACACTTTACACTTTGTTTAAGTCGTTGGTGGAGCGTGTGTGGTTAACTGGCACACTAACTTAGACTTAACAAGGTAGGTAAAGGGTAACTTAAGGTTTATCATAGTATCGGTGGAGCGTGTGTGGTTTACCAACACATTGATTGAGTGATAAACTTTAAGGGTACCAAGTGATTTGCATGGTTACTTCACACCTCGTTTTGTGATCCTCGGTATCCCAGTCACAAAACTCTGAGGGCACACTCAAGATTGAAACATGCCTTTGAAAAGTTAATTGAATCTCAAAAGAATCTAGGCATTGCTAAGAACCAATTAAAAACCTAATATTTATATTTCGTTTTTCATGGTGGAAATTGGTGAATCGTCATTCACCTGCCTTTTAAATATGTTATAGCTTGGATAACGACATACCTCTTCTAAGTTATAATATATTGTGACTGGATACTAGCCTTAATATTACATTTGGGTGTTTATTAAGGACTCTCTTAATATCTAAACTAATCTTGTCCTTTTCCTTCAGATGTCTTCCAACAATGTTGCTTCTGTCTCTAATCCGAATGGCTCCTTTACCCTTATGAACTTATGTAGGAAAGTCACTTTTGATGGATCCAACTTCAATGAATGGATCAGAAACATCAAGATGATTACCCGCTACAAGGACAAAGAATATGTCATTGATAAGGAGCTTAAGGAGATTGATGAAACCACTGCACCTCCCCAGGAGATCGTTGACTTCCAGGCACATGAAAGGGATGCTACCAAAGTGGCATACATCATGTTGGCCACGATGACAGCAGAATTCCAAAATTCCTATGAGGACTTCTACCCTTTTGAAATGCACCAAGATCTGATGGAAAGATACCATCAAAGTGCACGACAAGAGAGGTATGAAATCATCTGCTCCATGATAACAACCATGATGAAGGAAGAAGAGTCTGTCACAAGCCACATGCAAAAAATGCAAAGATATGTGGATCGGTTGCTGAAGCTTAATGTGAACTTCCCTGAGGAGCTTGTAATAGATATCATTTTGCACTCCATATCATCGTGGTATGATCAATTCTGCATGACATATCACATGAATAAGGAAGAGGTCACACTCAACAAACTTCAGGGACTTCTCAAGACCGCAGAAACAGGTCTTAAGGGGAAGTCGGTTGTTAACACTCCTACTCCAAACGCCGCCCCAGTTTTGGCAATCGGGAAAAGTCGAGGGAGAAAGGAAGAGCTCTTCGAAGGGTACCAAGGCTAGGACCCCTGATGGCTCTTCTTCAAGTGGAACCAAGAAAGGTTTCATCACTCCTTCTTTTGACCCAAAAGAGGCTGAATGCTTCTATTGCCATGAAAAGTCACATTGGAAGCGGAACTGCCCAAAGTACCACCAAGATGTGAAGGATGGGAAAGTTAAACCCAACCATGCAGGTATTTACACTATCTTATCTAATAACTCACCCCATTCTAACTCTTGAGTCCTTGATACTGGTTATGGTATTCATATATTTTCTGATATGAAGGGACTAAGAAGAAGTGAGAATGTGGAGCAAGGAAGAATAAACTTAATCATGGGGGAATAGGAAAGCTCTACCTGTCACCAAGATTGGAGTTTATACTTTATCTCTAAGTAGTGGGTTTAGTTTAGATTTGAATAAATGTTGTTATTCTCCAGAAATGGCAAGAAGCATTATTTCCTTTCATGCATTGTATAAACAAGGTTTTACCTTTTCATTTGATAATGAAGTTGGTTGGATTAATGCTTTCTTTAATAATGTTCTTTATTTTAAAGCATTACCTTGTGATGGTGTGTATGAAACTGTATATGTGGTTGATAACTTAGGAAATAATGTATTGTGTATTGATTCTGTTAATGATAATAACTTGGATAAAGCATCATTATGGCATTGTCCTCTTGCACATATAAGCAAGAAATACATAGGCCAACTCCAAAAGGATGTAGTATTGGAGTCATTTGACCTAAGGTTAGATGATAGTTGCAAATTATAGTTACTTAGAAAAATGACAAAGTCACCCTTCACAGGTTCTTGTGAGAGGGGTGAAGGTTTGTTGGATCTCGTACACACGGATGTGTTTGCCACAAGGGATGCTAATCGTTATTATTTGACTTTTACTGATGATTACAGTAGATATGGATATGTCTACTTAATCAATCATAAGTCAGAGACTTTTGAAAGGTTTAAAGAGTTTAAACAGGAAGTCGAGAATCAATTAGGCAGGAACATTAAGATGCTTCGATCCGATTGAGGTGGTGAGTATCTTAGTTCATAGTTCCTCGACTATCTTAGGGAATGTGGGATTGTCTCACAATTGAAACCTCCCAGGACACCGCGGTTGAATGGTGTGGTTGAGAGGCGTAATAGAACCTTGTTGGACATGGTACGTTCCATGATGAGTCGAGCTTCCTACCAATCTCATTTTGGGGGTATGCCTTAGAGACTGTCACCGATATCTTTAATCTGGTCCCTACAAAGAAAGTTGCCAAAAATCCTCATGAGATGTGGACTGGTAAAGTACCCAAACTAGACCACATCAAGATTTGAGGTTGCGAGGATTTCGTAAGACACAAGACTCATGATAAGCTCGAACCTCGAAGCGAGAGGTGTATTTTCATCGGCTACCCACAACAATCCTTTGGTTACCTCTTCTACAGACCTAGTGAAAATGTGGTCTTTGTAGTTACGAGGGCGTTCTTGAGAGAGAGAGAGAGAGAGAGAGAGAGAGAGAGAGTTCATAATCCAAGGAAACAGTGGGAGGCAAGTTGACCTTGAAGAAATTCAAGAGTCAAGCGGTGAAGGAACAACAAACCCTAGCACTCAACTTGAGGAGGAAACTCCTGTTGAGCCAATTGACAAGTCTTTACCTCTGAGGCGTTCCACAAGGGTTAGGAATGCACCTGAGCATTACTATGGATTCCATATTACTGTGGAAGGTGATACACTTATTAGTGATGAGACACTGATAGGTCTGGATGAACATGTAACAACCCGAAGTTGTTCATCGCCGAAAACCCATTCTACCCGTATAACTTG